ATTTCAGTTTTAACAAAATCTCATTGGCATTGATGTTGCCAGACTTTTGAAATGTATTGGCCATAATCGCCATCGAATAAATGTCCTGCACATCCTTGTAATGTTTGTTTAAAAATTCCATTCCTTTGGCAATGGTACTTCGATATTTCTTGGCATATTTCTGAAATAAACAAGGGGGTAAATTTTTGAAAGTTAATTGAAAACATTCTATATTTTTACCGGACTTTCCAAAAATGTCAATAGAACAAAAGCCGTAAAGCCATACTGATTTTGATGGGCCGGATCGAATAGGAAACCCCTATGCGGAAAGCTGCCGTCCTCCAGCTGTTGTTGGCTAAGATATTTCAGGGCATCATCAATGACCACATTTTCAATGGCCGAATATTGTTGACCCTTCATAAAGAAGCGTGCAGTATAGGCCGTTAGCCAATTACTTTCGGTACTTGAGTCGGGACCAAAAACACTAAAACCACCATTCGAATGGCGATACGACAGCTGTTGCTGATAACCAATATCCAAATATTTTTTAGCCTTTTCCATCACAAGGTTGCTGGCATTCGCCGATATAACCTCCAGAGACTGTAGATAGTCCAGAATTAAAATATTCGGAGCCAAGTAAATCATATTCTGTTCACCACAACCCTTGGGTTTTTTAACCAAATTATCAAGATTATCCAAGGTGCTGCCCATAACATCACCACTAACTGTCAATTCTAAGAATTCCGAGCGGGGTACAATTCCCTTGGGTATATCTGCTGTGAAAATAGTTTTATTACTTTGCAGTTTGGCCAGGGACATAAGCGCCTCCTGTTTGTGGGTGTGGACCACACCCTCAGGTTCAACTTTTAATTTGTGTATAACTCGATCTGATATTAACCCATTACTGGCTATTATTTCAATATCCACATCGCCAACCCTTTGGGGGCGTATCGCAAATATGGTACTTCTGGCATTGTTGGCCGTTACATTCAACTGCAGAGATCTCTGTAACTGTCCTGCGGATGCATTATCTTCCTTATCTAGAAATTCAAAATCACCCTCCTTCCGTATCATTGTCACATTGCTATGCAGCTCATCCTTCAGATAATTGAAAATTGTCACCGGAATATTGACAGTTTCTCCACGCTTTACCGAATATGGTAGATTGATGCTTATGAAAAATGGCTGGAATGCCTGAATTTCTAGATTTTCTTCTAGCATGCCAAAACCGGTTTCATCATTAACCGAGAAGGCTCTCAGCTCCCAGGTTGTAACGGTGTCAGGAACCTTAACACTTAGAGGGGTATTTGGTTGGGTGCTGGAAGGAAATAAAATCGAAATTTAAAATAAAGGCCAGCAAGGAAAGTACAAAGGTCAGATTGAACCGACTATAAGATGCCCTAAACCACTTTGGGTATACAGAAGATGAGCTTCTCAATGGTGGCCAATCCGTCTCCATTTACTACGTTTAATCTCCCATTTATGGGTTCATGATTCATTTGGTTCCACAGCTCTGCTTTATTTATTGTGTTGGGCCAGAATATTCTCCATATAATGGTGAGGGATTTCTTATGAATACAGTTAACATTTGCGTGATGGTGTTAGACACAATCCCCATAGGTTCTAGTTAGTTCGAAGTCAGCTTATTCTCTCAGAATGATTTCAATTTCCCTTTGTAAGTAGTACAGTTGATAGTGTGACAAATTACACAACGACGGGCCTCGGGTTCAAATCACAGCGGAGGAGGAACAATTCTTTCTAAGAGTCTTTTTGTCGAATATTCGACAAAAAAGACATTTACATCCCTATTCAGAAGTGCCACCGAGCCCCCCTTACATTCTAATGAACAATCTCGTCATCAACACATGAGGATAGCATAAATAGGAATATCTGGAAGTAGCGCCACCTAGAGGAAGATAGTAACACTAACCGATGTATACCATTCAAGAAGGCTTTGTTTCTAGACAACGATAGATGGCAGCCCCTCACCATCACTAGAGTTTGTTCGTTGCGGAAAGAAAATAGTTCAAATTAACTATTCCGCACAACATCATTTTACTCCGGTTGTTCTTTTTTGCTCTCGTTGCCCTAGTTCCTTTTGATTGATTCGATCATCTAAATCATTCCGAACAATAGAACTAAAAGCGTCTACCGAATTAAATGAAGCGGCGTGATCCAACAAATATCTGGACTGCTTTAGGAACGAGATTACCCAAATTTAGGTTATTGAATCAAATCAATCCGCCTCTGAAGCCACTCTTTCCAGATTTAACAAGGTTTCAACATGGATTTTCTACGACAAAGTTTATCTTATTAGACCTTGTTATTTAGGGAATCTCTTTTGTACCGTTGGACCTTTTTCTGTCTGGATACAGCACCACCTAGAGGAAAATAGAACACTAAAAAATAACAAAGACGACAACCACTGCATACCACTCAGAGTGGCTTTGTTTCTAGGAAGCGAGTGATGGCAATCCCATTACCTTCGTTCCGGGTCCGTGTTTTTGGGTGAATGCCATTCATTTGTTCCTGATAGGCCTTGTTTACCTAGAGGTTCTCCCTTATATCTAGGAATCTAGGGTGTAGGAATCCTATTCATGGGATGATGATATGGATGATTCCGGCGATGTCACCTAACTATATAATAAATCGATAATGTGATGTGCCATTAAATTGTGAACTGGAGGCAGATTGTTGCGGTTATCAGTGCGACATCCTGTCATGTTTGAATACCATTCCGCTATCTATCGCTAGCATTCACATGATATTGGTCTATAGCATGGATCACTACTTCTGTGTGAATGTCATCATGCTTTATAAGCCTGTTGATTTAGAGGTTCTCTCTGTTGGACCTTCCTAACTCTCTCTGTCTTTTTTAATATCAAGAAGGTATCTCCTTATGTGACAGAGATGAGAATCCTGAATATGAGATAATGGCGGCGATACTGGCAAGACCATAGCTTCTTTATCTAAATCGTACACTGGTGTCGTAAGGAGTCACTCTTTCAAAGTTCTCGGGGCGGCATTCTGACAGTTTCATTGATTAGTCGGGAGCTGCCGGCCATCGACTTAAGAACATTGTTCCATTTCTGCCACTTGGTAAAAGGCGACATAATAAGCTGTCGAACGTTACATCCAAAATTGTTGGGGGTACTTTGGAGTCGAAATTAATGCTTCATCGACCATATTAGTCTATAGCTTAGGTCACTCGTTCTGTGTGAATGTCATCCTGGGATTCACATTGGGTTTACACCATAAAATATCAGAATCGGACCAGTATTTTGGGGCAGTTCTTGTATAACGGTACCTCTTAAATTCCGGTATTTATACCCTTCACCACACTGTGGTACAGGGTATTATGTCTTTGTGCATATGTTTGTAACAGGCAAAAATAATTGAGATAGACCCATGGTTCCTTTTGAGAATATGCATAGAATCACTTTCTGAGTCGATTTATGCATGTCCGCCCGTCCGTCTGTCTGTCCATGTTAAATTGTAAACAAAGTACAGGTCGCATTTATGATCCGAATTGGATGAAATTTGGCACAGCTCGTTTGTTTGACCCAAGGACGAACCCTATTGAAATTGTGAAAAATCGGTTCAGATTTAGATATAGCTCCCATATATATTTTCGTCCGATTTAAGGTAAATAAGGTACCAAAGTCCCTAAATATCTTTCGATTTGCACGAAATTTGGTACTGTCTACTGAATTAGTTCTAGAATGATGTGTGCCAAGTTTCGTAAAAATCGGTTCAGATTTAGATATAGCTCCCATATATAGTTTAGACCGATTTTAGGTAAATGGTGCACCAAAGTTCCTGAAAATCATTTGATTTACACGAATTTTGACATAGCGTATTGAATTAAGTCTAGAATGACGTGTGCTAAGTTTCGTGAAAATCGGTTCAGATTTAGATATAGCTCCCATATATAGTTTCACCCGATTGAAGGTAAATGGGGTACCAAAGTCCCTATATATATCTCGATTTGCACGAAATTTGGTATAGCCTACTGAATAAGGTCTAGAATGATGTGTGCTAAGTTTCGTGAAAATCGGTTCAGATTTAGATATAGCTCCTATATATATTTTCGTCCGATTTAAGGTAAATGGGGTACCAAAGACCCAATATATCTCTCGATTTGCACGAAATTTGGTATAGCCTACTGAATTAGATCTAGAATGATGTGTGCTAAGTTTCCTGAAAATCGGTTCAGATTTAGATATAGCTCCCATATATAGTTCCGCCCGATTTTAGGTAAATGGTGCACCAAAGTCCATGCTAATCTTTTGATTGGCATGAATTTTGGTATAGCGTACTAAATTAAGTCTAGAATGATGTGTGCTAAGTTTCGTGAAAATCGGTTCAGATTTATATATAGCTTCCATACATAGTTTTGTCCGATTTTAGGTAAATGGTGCACCAAAGTCTCCGAAAATCATTCGATTTGCACAATTTTGGCATAGCGTATTGAGTTAAGTCTGGAATGATGTGTACACCTCCTATATATATTTTCGTTCGATTTTAAGTAAATTGTGCACTAAAGATCCACAGCTAGGCCGATTGACACAACGTATTGAAATTAGTATAAATTAATCTCTGGTAAGTTTGCTTCAAATCGGTTCAGATATAGATATCTCGTAGCTTCCATATATAATTTCGAATGTTTATTAAGATTAAATTTTAAACAGTGCAGCATACCGAATGGAGTGTGTCAAGTTTGCTTTAAATCGATTTACACAAATCTGTCCCACTGTGCGCAAACGACTCTAAACTTGGCCAAATGAAATGAAATTTAGCATAGGTTCCAGAAAGATATAAAAATCACATACTTAAGTTTGTTCAATTTCATGTCAAAATTCCTTCAAAAAGCGATGTCTTTTCGGATACACATGTACCCAAAGTGGTGAAGGGGATCATATAGTCGGCCCAGGCCGACTTTACTACATTCCTTACTGGTTTTCATAAGGGTTTCAACCGAATTGGCTGCGAATTCATATTTTTGGTTCTTGGGAAGTTTGGGCGCCATTTTCAATTAAATTGGCTTAATGAATTGCCTCCATATAGAAGTCTCGATTGAGTTTAGATATTTTGAATACCCAACTCATGGTGTGGGATTTCCTTGGTTGAACTTGACTACGTTTTTCCTTATTTTAAAATTAATAACATTAGGGAATCTACGCTTACATTTCAAGATCCTTATAAAGCCATGTTTCGGGAAAATCGACACGATAGTATGTGGGATCTAGTATACTTTTTTCGATTTCCACTGAAATTGAAAAACAAATTAATAGAAATTTTCGTAAAATTTCATATCCAAAAATTCTATCTCACTATAGTAATATTTTTGATATTTGGCATTGGTCAGTATGACCAGACCCGTTTGAACATCGGGGGATAACATTAGGGCGCTCCCCTGCATTCGGGGTGGGGTATACGATTTATCATCCAACAAATCGTTCATGATGTGATCCTTTTGTAGAATATTTTTCGAATTCAGCAGAAGAACACTTTTATCGACCGCAGCTATGGATACACGAGAATTCACAGCGGCTTTTAAGGTTAGGGTAATATTTTGACCAGGCTTGACGCGTGTTGGACCCATAAGGGATACCTAAGAGTTGTATATTTTGTTATTAAATATTCCGAGGATATTCAATAACCTTACCTTATTTTCAAATGTCTTTGGCAGATGTATTGTCAATTCACAATAATTAAATTGATCATTCACAATATAGTAGACGAAAAGATGGGAATTGGGAATCATCTCTATGGAGGGTCTTATTTTAAAGGTGTGAGATTTCGTGTTGGCAGGCAATTGGAGATTTTCCTGGCGTACAATATTTCCATGTCCCGTGAGAGTATACATGAGATATGGAATATTGTTCTCAGATGTAATCGTAATTTCCAGGGGTATTTTGAAATCTTTGAAGCTGGAAGAAGGAAGACAATTTTCAAAACCCAAGAACTAAGCTCCGTGTCTTTATACCAAAATTGAAAGAGGTCCGTCTCATCCGCCTCGACCTTTGTAAGCTTAAATCTGGCAACACCTTGATCATTCAACGGCAATGTATAATTA